GGGGGCAGGAGGAAAGGAATACTTGACCCCAGGGAAAACATACACTGTTTCTGCATATAACGAGCAGAGATTTTAGATCCTACTTTAAACAGCTATGTATAACTCCTTTCTCTCTCTCTCAACAAGAGAAGGATTACAACTGTTCAAAATCCATGCTTCTTTAAGAAATAATGAAAAAAATTATACAAGTTATGAGCCATCTTCAAAAAAAAAATCTTTATAAAATATAGCAATGCTAACCTTACAGTTATCCAGGTATACCACCCATTGCCAATTAGTTACTGAAATATGGGTAGCTTCTTATCAAGAGCAGAGATGAGAGGGGCCTGAGGAAGGGTACTGTGATACCCAAAAGTTTGTGTATGTCTATACCAAGCATACAGACATCATCCACAAGAACTCTTTACTCTATCAAATGTCTAAACAAGATGACAGATACTTACAGGCAAGCACTTCCCTTAAGCAAGAGAAACTAGCCTTGTATCAGTATTCTGTACACTAGGTGTGACAGTCAGACTTGTGGGAATCCTTTAACTGTAACTTTTATTGAATGAGAAAATAGGCAATTAGGAAGTTGTTAAGTACTTGGTGGGGAGGGAGGTGGTAGGGGGCAAAAAAGCAAAACCAAGCTCTCACATCACACGTGGGTTAAATATTTGCTAAAAGGGGTACTGAACTGCTAGAAATCTTCCAAATAATTTCACAATTCGATCTATTTACCTCAGAATTCAACTATCTAGTATGCCATACTCAACATTTTTCACTTGCAGGTTATGCATTAGCTGTAATATTATAAGGAAATTATTCTTCCAGCCCTGCATGCCCTTAATCCTCCAAACCCACTTTAATACCAGAAAACTAACAACTATGGCATATCTAAAGTAACTGAACGTTCAGTGTTTTAATTGAATTCCACTTTACACAAACTCCTGAGGATATCTGTTTCCTTGATAGCCATAAATAACCCCCAGAAGACAAATGCTCATGAAGAGTTCCAGGGTCTTATCCCAAGAGATGCTGTTGACCTAAACCTCTCAAAGGAAGCTGCAGGTGTTCAGCATCACTCAGAATCAAACCTTACTTTTGTGTAGTTTAATAAAAAGACATTCTCATGCTACAAACAGATGTTAAAGAGAAAAAGCATAAGTTAGGTGTTAGTGAATAAAGATATGCAAAAGACAAGATGCCAAGGAGCTTTCAAAAAGCAGTAAACATACCATCCCAGGTATCTCCACCACCTAGGGGAAAGTGTAAGAGATGAACACAAGTACAGGGCAAAAGGCTGCAGATAAAATAGTAATTTACATGGCTAAGAGAAAACTACATATTAGCAGACTTATCCAAAGACCTCAACTCATGTACACAGTAATCTAGATACTGCTGAACGTGAACTGGAAATCAGAGAATGAAACTGAGGAAAAGACTTAAAGGTGAAAGCATTAGTTTCTGCACATAGCTGAGCAGTTCCCTGGTCACTTTAAGTTGCTTAGTGTAATCTAAAAACACACTGTGATCCTTTTTAGCTGCCAACTTAATAGACTGAATGAATGTCTTGGCAGTCTGAGATCTCTAGCAGGTGTTTTGGACTGATGCACAAGGAAGTCAGAACCGTTTCCCTTCCAGAAGCTCTCCTCACCTTCTGTCTCCATGTCTTGCCCTTTTGGAGCTTCTCCAATATCAATAGTGAACATCACTATTTTAGGAGTCATGGTGGACATTCTGTTGCTGAAGCAAAACTTGTAAGTTCCATCCATGTGAGCAGCAAATGTGTATTTTCCACTGGATTCTCGATCCCCTTTGTAAATCCCTTTATTATCAGGTCCTGTAATCTGGGGGCAAAAAGATCATTTCAGGACAGGCGCACAATAGTGAAATCCTGAATTAAAAGGAAATAAAAGCAAACAAACTAAACTCAAGACATTCTCTCTAGATACTGCAATCCTAGATGACATTTCCCCAATCTGCATCAGAACCTCTCAGAAAACACCTATTTAAGAAGCTATGTGAATGCCTCTCTAACAGCCAAGACATGCAAAACTCTTGCAGCACTAGCAAAAAAAATTTGTAGTCAGTCATAACTGAAGCTCCAGTCTATCTACAGCCTTGCAAGTTAGTAATGCAAATGACTGCAGAGAAAATACAGAAACCTTACGTCAGAAAAAAATACTTATTGTAATAAACCATTATCATTCTTAGGTGTATATTTCTATATTGTTGCAGAGGACATAGAACCAATGTACTGACCACTACATCCTTAAGACTCTTGTCCCCAAAACTACAAGCGCTGACCCCGTTTCTTGTTACATGTCGTCTCCGATTTAAACTGGATTTGATAATTTTCTTCACTTTCCTCTCCTAACTATGGTGTAATACTGCTACATGTTTTTTAAATGCAAGTGTCATAAACTTCTGTCCATCCTGAGAGAGTACCGATTTGCAGTTGATGAAGCAATATCATTTGCAGGGGCAGTTGAAAAACATCCCATGAAAAGAACGTTTAGAGTCCATCAGACTCCAAAGCAATGCGAGAGAAGCTTTTGTTGGGGGGAAAAAAAACCCACAAAAAAGCCTACCGTTCAAAGGATGTCTGTCAAAACTGATTTCAAGTTAGACTCCCATTCATGCCTCAAGAGAGAAAAACTTATGATCACCCAAACTAATCAGCGCTATTGTACCAGAAGCAACCCCAGGCCGCATCCTCTGCTAACTTAAGCCTCATCTCCGGCACTTTCACAAGACGATTGCAGGGTTGAGCATAGAAGCCAAGTTTTTAAAGAACTATTCTGTAAGCAACGTGACTGCACAGAGCTGTCCCCTTTCTCAGGGCTTTGACACGGCGACACAATAAAAGGCAGTTTGGCCTCGGGCTGCCTGCTCTGCAGAAGCAACTGAACCTTTCCTGCAGCTCAGGAGGCTCTAGTCACCAGCAGCTGCGCTGGATGATCCGACCCTGCTTCTGCCCAACAGGAATTCAGCCGACTGGCATGAACAAATACATAGAAATTGCAAGCAGGCCTCCACAGGGATCGCGCGAACATCTCAGCAGCTTGCTTCTGCCTTTGGATTCACCTCGACTGCAGCCCCACGCTCTAACCTGCCAGCCCCCAACTAACCCTCCAGCAGGAGCGGCCCCGGCTCCTCAGCAACGTGCTCCAGGGGGCTGGCAAACTCCATTTCTCCTCCCGCTCTCCACACAACAGCCCTTTCCTTTCCATCTTGGAGCGATTCAGCGGCAGCGCACGGGCCTGATGCCCACAGGCGTCTTCCCACTTGGGCCCACCCCAGCCACTGAGCCGCTCTGTTGTGGGAGGGGGCGCTAAATGGGCACCGGCACTCCTGATGCCGAGAGGCCTCTTTGAACGCGGGTCTCGGCCCCCCCAGACGACCGCGCCCCTCCCGCTCCTGGGGACACGTAAAGCACAGCCGGGACGGGAGGGAGGGAGGTGGCAGGGCACTAGGACGGGCGCCAAGCAGGGGGGACAAAGGAGCGCGCTGTCCGGCGCCCACGGGCTCTCGAGCGAGTCCGAGGACCCGGCAGACGGCGCCCCCCCAGCCCGGCCCGCACCTCCACGTCGATGTCGAGGAAGCCGCCCTCGGCCACCTCGAAGATGAGCCCCATCTTGGTGCCGGACGGGACGCGCTCCAGGAAGCACTCCTCGGCGTGCGCGTCGATGCTCACGAAGTAGCCGGCCGCGGGGGCCGCCAGCGCGGCCAGCAGCGCCAGCACCGCCCGCACCGGCGACATGGCGGAGCCCAGCGGGGGCCGAGCGGCGGGACAGAAGGGAGGGGGAACTTCCGGCCCAGGCCGCGCCCCTTCCGGGCACGGGGCCGCCGCTCATAGGCCCGGGTGCAGCCGCTGCCACGTACGACACTGCGCTACGGCAGCTGGCGAGGGACGCTGTGAAGAGGCGCTACCCGACCGCGAGGCTGAGGGATTCCGTGCAGCGCAGGGGGCGGGGCGGTAGCCACGTGAGGACCGGACGGCGGGCAGAAGGGGCCAAACCGCGCAGCGCGGATTTAAAGGGCTCGTGCACTGAACAGCGCCACAAACTTGAGATTGGGCCCGGCCTCGAGGGCTCTGCAGTAGCAGACCCCTGGGCTGGGAGGTGTCGTCGGAGCTGGACCAGGTAGGACCTCCTGAGGTCCTTTCCAACCCTCATTTTCTATGATTCTATAAAAAGAGCCAAGCAGCTATCGAGTTAGTGCTTGAAAACATGTAACAACTCCAGAGCTGGTTTCAACCCAGTTTTAATTTAAAGGTGTAACAAGGCCCTGTCTCTCCCTTGCTGGAGCAATGGAGAGAGGGAGAGGGTGAGCATCTGCTCACAGTAGCGACTTCTATTTTGTTGGCACTTCTGAATTCCACTTCTTAAGAGGAAGATAATGAAACAATAGTCACAAGATAAGAAAGGAACAAAAGACTGTGCAAGTTTTTGTTGTTCTTGAAAGGCTCTAATACAACAACGTGATGAGACCAAGTTCCCAAATACATAAATGGGGAGCGGCCAAAGAACCCATGCGATCAGGAACTGTGTGGAGTTAAGCTTTTCCTAGCAACTTGCATGGTTCTGCTGAAATTTGTGTGCTGCTTTGCCTGCATTTTATAACTAATGGAAATGAGAATATTTGCCGCCTATCACTGAAGCTGTAGTGAAGCTCAGTGTCAGCCAGTGACCGCCAACAAGGGTCTAATGCTACAATTTCCAGCTTGGGTGCTGCACTACCCAGGGGGGCCACCAGATACCTCCAGGTGTGAGGAGATAAGCACAAACTGAGCCTTGCCCCTGCCCTACCCCTACTGCCTGGGCCTTCTGCAGGGAGGTGAGGACTGTAATATATAAATTGATTGTTTAAATTAGGAATTAACAAGTTATTGAAAGTGCCTTGAGATCAGTGAGGCTGAAAACCAGTTCTTTATTTGCATGAATCCTCCATGGAAAGTGTGTAGAACTGGCTGCATTTGTTACATAAGTTGCAGACTGGGGCTGTCGGCGCACATCGAATAGAAAATTAACTGAGAGCTTGATGTGCCTGCCCTGTGACAGGTCACCCAGAGCCCATTGACACAATTAAATTACTTTACCTGATCTTAGTAGGCTTTGGATCCAGCCCTAATATGCATTGTTTCCACAGTCATTAGTGTGAACTAGTGAGGTTCTACTGCACTTTTGCCACATAGCTGGGTACAGTCCCCAATTGCCACTAGCCTATTCTGTTTGCTACTAGCCTATTCTGTTTGCTACTTTTCTCCCTCTGCAAGGATGCACATCAAGGTTGGGCAGCCCTTTCACACTGACTCCGGGTTTGGCACCCCCCTGCCCCTTCCAACCCCTTGGGGTTTTTTTATCCCAGATATACTCATTTCTGAGATGCCCTGGTATTGCCTTCCATGTGGTCTTATGTTACTATTGCTTTTCATGCCTTCATAAGCAGTATATTCATGGAAGTGATGACTGTGCTGTTACTCACTCTCATGCATTTTCTAGGCTGTATTGGGTCTTATCTTTTCCAATAAAATGTTAATGAACATACACTGTGGAAGTGGATTTTTGATGAATAGTCTAGATGGAGTTTTTTTGTTACTCTTGTCATGCAAAGAAGTAGGCTGTCAAATCATTTGGGACTGTTTTCTTTGAGATACACATGTATGGGGAAGTTGGGCGATTTTACCACTCGTGATGGGACATAACACGATGCTGATAACATGGAATGAATCAGTTTATTTGCTTATCAGACTTCATTTATGTCCAGACCTTGCAGCGTTTGGATGTAAATCATGGGGACAAAAGAGTGGAAGAGGCCTCCCAGGCCATTGAGTCCAGGCTCTTGCATCCACAGGTAACTATTAGTCCCAAAGAGTCCCCAGGAACATCTGCTGCAGCTCTTTTGATGTAATGCAGTCTCAAAGTACCCCCAAACCCCCAGTTCTGATGGCCTACAGGTAAAGAACTGGGGAAGAAAAGAGTGCAAATAATTTCCCATAGTACTGAGGAAAGCAAAAACCCTCTATGCTCCTACTCCATCTGAAAATACCTTCCTGATGAGCTTGGATAAGTGGTTTGGACAGACATGCCACTAGACTTCAAGCTGTCTATTCCTCTCAGGCTGATCATACATGCACATAAAATGCTGACTATCATCTAGAAGCAGTAACTCACACCCTTTCTTTTAAACTCTTTTCCCTCCACCCTTAATCCTATCCCATTGTTTTTGCCCCACCCTTTTACCATGAAGTGTAAGAAATAAGTGGCAGTGTGATGTTTGGTTTAAGGCCTAAAGCTTTCGATACACTATTAGGGGCACTGTAAATAATGTTCACACAGTTGGAAGCTAAAAAAAATGTATTAACAAATCTGCTGTTATGTGCACACATCCATATAATTGAGAAAATGAAGAGAAAATTACCTCCAGATTAGATTAGATTCTTACTGCTAACGTTAGTAAGATTACTCAGGGCATTATGTTGTGGTATTTGACAGCTTAGACCCAAAAGGGAATAAAAAAGCATGGATTAATTCAGCAAGAGAAGGAAAGCATTTTCAACCAGGGGGTCGGGGCACCCTTGGATGCCAACAAAACCTCTTAAGAGTCCCCCAAGATGTGAGGCGATAAACAAGGCGTAAGGAGATAAAGAGAAACTAAGTCAATGAACCCAGGCCTGCCTGCCTACTCTGCGAGTAGATGAGCATTGATTGTAATGTATAAATCAGTTTTTGAAACTGGGTGCTACTCAGTTCACAAAAGCCATGGATGGTATCTCAAGGGGGCATCTCTCATTGCACAAGTCCAGAAAGGTTGAGACCCAATGTTCTAGTATGCATAAAGACCTCATGACTGTTGACAGTGGATTTATGACCCAGTCCTGATATCTTATTCTGGGCAGACCCAAAGCCTCAGACCAACTACAACTTCTTCCATTCAATAATAGGCGAATTTTATTGATACACAGTGATAGCAGATAAGAGTAGTGTAGGCAAAACAAACAAAATACACCCCCACCCTAGTTCTACTTATCTACCAGTCCTGAGGATGTCACAGAGGAAAAGTAAAGTATATCTGGCTAATACACAAACACTACCCTGTGGTTTTAGCTTGAAGTATGCCAGATATCAGCAGCCTAGAGGTCGAAGGCTGATGACCACTCCCCACAATGGGGTGGGTGAAACGGGCTAGTGGTGTGCCATCTGCACATGGCGGCCTCAGGATCACTCCTTCTGTATTCTCTCTCCTCTGATGACTCTTCATTTCTGGGTATCGTCAGTTGGTTTCCCTGTGGTCGTCATACTATCCACGTTCTGTTCTGCCAGTATAATTATTTGGTTCCACAAACCCATCATATGCATACAACCTTAATTTGGTCATTTACCCGTGTCTTAATTTGGGCAACCCCAGCCTAGTTTGGTAAATCCACCAAAACCAGAATTCCCAGGGGTTTTATAGCTGGGCACTATACCTTGGCGCCAATGCAGCAAGCCTATCTTTTGTTATGGAACAGTTTGGATGTTCTTAAAATTCCCAGGATGCGTATACCCGCTTGTCCATTGGCCCTCGGACACAGTATCTGCCCTGAAGGCTATGAAACTGTGTCACAAACAGGCTTTTAGAAACCAATTAACCTTTGCCAATTAAGCCTGAACCACTGTTCCAATGCAATATCTACTCTAGCTACAAGCTAGTTCCTAAAAACTAATCTCTATCATTTTCTAGTCATCACTGACTGCCACAGATGCCTTTGTGCCTCCTGGTACAAAACTGGAACCTAAAAAAATTGACAGCAGCAATTAAGCAGGTGGTGTTCTGATACCATAACCCACTATATCTCATTGTCTTGTCAGAGAAAGTTGGCTGTTTGGCATAGGGACCATCTTGCTCTGTGCTATTAATAGTCCCCAGCACACTGAAATTCTAATTCATGCCTAGGGCTCTTACTTCTCATCCAACGCCTCCTGTGCTAACACAAATAGTAGTGGCAAATACTTGATAACTTTTTCAGGCAATACATGGTTAACTTACGGAATTCATTGTCACAGGAGGTGGAGGCAGGTAGCATAGCCAGGTTCAAAGAAGGACTGGATAAATTCACAGATGATAGGGGATTGATCACTCTACAGAATCGGGTTCAATACTCTCCCTCTAAAGCATCTATTTCTGTCACTGTCAGAGATGGGATACTGGGCTAGATGGACCATTGGTCTGACCCACTATGGCACTTGGGTTCTGACGCTGCACATCCACTAAACTACTACCCACCAGGACCCAGCAACAGAAATGGTCTCATCCAGAAACACTCACTTAAGAGATGGGCCCTGATCCTGCCCGTATACAAGTTCTTTACCTGGACTGTCTTCTTCAAATTATTACCTAGATGTTTACCCAAGACAGGGCTGAAGTATTTTCTTATCCACCAACTAGGAAGTAACTGGTAACAACAAAAAGCTTGCTGTAACAGAGCAGTTATGCCCTGCCACGAGAGACTAAAAACAAGCAGATTCCATGGAACAAGGAGTCTCTGCATGCTAAGCTACTTACCAAGGCACGGTTTGGAGCTCCAGACTAGTTACCAGGGCCAGCTGTAGCGTGGAAAAGTGGCAGACCAGAAGTTATGCTGATAGGCTCAAGCAGCGAGGAGAGTTGAATGGTGGATCGGGCAGGTATGCGTTTTCCCCAGAGAAGGGAAGCAGGCAGGAGTGAGTCTCTTACAACTGCACGGAGCTGCAGTGTCTACCTGGCCAGACCAAGATGGCAGCAAGTAGAAGAGGGAAGATCTGACTTACCTGGCGTGAGACTGAATGCAAAACGGTTCCTCAGCATCCAAAGGGGATTCTTAGTGGTAACTGAAGGTGCTCTGGGAGAGTTACCTGGAGGAGGGAAGAAAACAGGGCACAGATAAGAGCTGACCCTGTGACCAAGGAATTCTCTGCCAGTGTGCAGATAATTAAGGGCCAGAGGCACCGGGGACCTCATGGGTTGAGTCCTTTTCTGCGGCTGAGAAGGTGGGAATAAAAAGGGAAGAACCTCAAACCCGGGGGAGTAGCAAAGAAACCTGAATAAGAGGGGTACCAAGACCAGTAAGGATGGCATTTGGTCAAGAAGTGATTCATTTTAGATGTGGTGTGGCAGGGCATAACCTTGTTTTTTTTAGAGGCTAAAAAACAAGCACATGCCACAGAATGGAGAGTCTCTGCACGCTAAGATACTTACCAAGGTGGGGCCTGGAGCTCCGGACTCTAATTACCAGTGCCGACTCGTGACATGGAAAAGCGACAAACAGGAAGTTATGCTGATAGGCTCAAACAGCCAAGCCAGTTAAATGCCAGGTTGGGCAGGCATGTGTTTTCCCTAGAGAGGGAAAGCTGGCAGGGGCGAGTCTCCTGCAACTGCACAGAGGTGCAGTGTCTACCTGGCCAGACCGAGACAGCAGCTAGAAGAGCAAAGATTTGACTTGCCTGGTGTGAAACTGAATGCAAGAGGGTTCCTCTGCGTCTGACAGGGATTTTTAGTGGTGAGCAAAGGCGCTTTGGGAGAATTACCTGAAGGATGAAAGAAAGCAGGGCACAGATAAGGGCTGACCCTGAGAAGAAGGAATACCCTCCGAGTATGGAGCTAATTAAGGGCCAGAGACACCAGGGATATTGATGGGTAACTAACGGTGCCAGCTGATACCCTGAGAGCCCTATCGCCCATGAGTTAAGTCATGGAATATTTGCCTAGAACAAATTCAGAGTACTCTGGGAAATACAAGGGAATAAGCAATATTGCGACTTACTAGACTGTGGAGGCCCTTTGGGAGGGTGCGTCCTATCATTGGCTACGCCTGCCATTTCAGACACCAAAGACTGAGCTAGAATATCTCATTAAGAGTGTAAACAAGGTCCTCAGTGAAGAAGGCACCTGGGAGAGACTGGGCCAGAAATGTTAAAAGGAAGAGTAACAGAACTGGTGGACGAGGAGCAAATGGATTGTAGATTCGGGCAACTAAAGGGGCTCCAAAACCCATGGTGCATGCAGGTGAAAACTGGCTCCATGATTGTGCCAGCACTTCGATTCAGGATGTGCAAAACTATGATTAGGGAAGGAATAATTGATCCATGGGAGGGTGAAACAGGCAGGTTGAGCAGGCGTATGTGTTCCCTGGAGAGGGGAAGCAGGCAGGGGCAAATCTCCTACCACTGCACGGAGGTGCAGTGCCTACCTGGCCAGACCAAGATAGCAACAAGTAGAAGAGTGAAGATTTGACTTACCTGGCGTTGGACTGAATGCAAGAGGGTTCCTCAGAATCCAAAGGGGATTCTTAGTGGTGAGTGAAGGCGCTTGAGGAGAATTACCTGGAGGAGGGAGAAAACAGGGCTGAGTTAGAGTATCCGATTAAGAGCGTAAACAAGGTCCTTGATGAAGAAGGCACCCAGAACACCTAGAGTGTTAAGGGCAGGGGATGGGGATGGAGGAGCCCTGCAAAGAGGCCAAATGCCAGCTAAGTTGCAGTAAGATCAAGCTGATCTACCTCCTCAGTTTTACATCTTTCTTTTTGTTTTTTGGTTTTGTTGGGGGTGGGGGATGTTGTTGACAACAAGGCATGGCAGGTAAGTTCCAGAAAGGGAGACTATCAAGTCCTGGCAGACTGACCGCAACATTTGAACATCAGAAGCCAGATCTTCTACAATTGTGTGTGTCTATATCAACCATATAGACCTCATCCACAAGAATTCTTTACTCTATCAAATGTCTAAACAAGCTGGAAGGTACTCACAGGCAAGCGCTCCCCTTAAACAAGAGAACCCAGCCTTGTATCAGTATTCTGCACAATAAGTGTGACAGCCAGACTTGAGAACATAAACGTACAGTTAAAGGATTCCCTCATCAACAAAAGTATTAGGAAACTTAAGGGGGGGGGGAAGAAACCATGCTCTCACATCACATGTGGGTTAAATATTTGCTAAAAATAGGTACTGAACTAGTAGGGATTTTCTAAATAATATTATGATTTGATCTATTTACCACAGAATTCAACTACCTAGTATAACACACTCAACATTTCTTATTTATAGGTCATGCATGAGCTGTAATGTAATAAGGAAGTGATTCCTCCACCCTTGCACGCTCTCCAAACCCACTTCAATTATAGAAAACTAACAACTATGGCATATCTAAAGTTACTGAACGTTCAGCATTTTAGCTGAAATCCACTTTAACCAGCCAACTCAATGGACTGAATAGGTCTTGGAATTCTGCAGTCTCTAGCAGACGTTTTGAACTGACATGCTAGGAGAGCAAAACGATTTCCCTTCCAGAAGCTCTCCTCACCTTCTGTCTCTGCGTCTTGCTCTTGTGGAGCTTTTCCAATATCAATAGTGAAGTTCACTATCTTAGGAATCAGGGTAACTCCGATTTTGTTGCTGAAGCAAAACTTGTAAGTTCCATTCATGTGAGCAGTAAATGTGTAGTTTCCATCGGATTCTCTTTCAACTTTGTAAATCACTTGATTATCAGGTCTTATAATCTGGAGGCAAAAAGATAATATCACAACAGGCACACAATAGTGAAATCATAAATTAAAAAATAAATAAAGAGAAGCAAACGAACTAAAGTCAAGACATTCCCTCTAGACACTGCAATCCTAAATGACATTTTTCTTCCAATTTGCATCAGAACTCAGAAAACGCCTATTTAAGAAGCCATGTGAATGCCTTTCTACCAACCAAGATGTGCAAAACTCTTGCACTCACAAAAAAAATTGTATTGAGGTCATAACTGAAGCTTTAGTCTACCTACAACCTTGAATGTTTGTAATGCGAATAAATGCAGAGAAAATACCTCAGAAAACAATGACTTAGTGTAATGAATCATTATTGTTCCTGGATGCATGTTTCTATATTGTTGCAGAGGAAATGGAACCAGTGTACTGACCACCATGTCCTTAAGGCTCCTGTCCCCAAAACTAGAAGCGCTGACCCCAGTTTTTTACCCTTGTTACGTTACCTTCTGTGGTCTCCAATTTAAATCAGATTTGATTGTTTTCTTTACTTCTCTCCCCCATGGTATAACGCTACTAAATCCTCTCCCATGGTCAGAGCCATCCCTCGGGGTGTGCAGGGCAGCCTGTGCGGGGCTGAGGGGTGGCAAGCCACCGAAGCGCAGAGCTGGCAGCGCGTGGTGGGGCCTGTACAGCACTGACCGTGGCTCCCCCCCACCCCACCCCTCCCCCCGCAAAGCACAGGGCCCGGGGCAGTTGCCCCAATTCACGCCCCCCTAGGAACAGCCCTGCCCACAATATAATACCTTTTTTTTTTTTTTTCTTCATACAATGGTCATAAATCCAGCCCATCCTAACAGATGCCGGCATCTGTGGATGCCGAAGCAATGTCATTTGCTGGGGTAGTTGAAAAACATCCCATGACAAGAACATTTTAAGTCCATCAGACTCCAAATCAGCATTAAAATGTGTAGTGGGATCTCGTAAGAACAAAACTGACATCAGCTCTTGCATTGCAAAGCGCGGGGATGACGGGTCTCTCACCCAGGGATGCACTGTTTATCTAAAACAAGGATTAAACCGAGGCTTCCTGACCAGGGATTTCAGTCGATTGCATTCCAATGAAACCCACCCCGCAGGAACCTGCTCAAGGGCTCGGGGCTGGCGCGGGGGAGCAGACGCCGGCTCCCCCGGCTAGGACCAGGGCAGCGCCCCCCACACTCTCCCCGCGCCCCTCAGCCCCCGCCCGGCCCGGCCCACGCCTCCACGTCGATGTCGAGGAAGCCGCCCTCGACCACCTCGAAGATAAGCCCCATCTTGGTGCCGGCCGGGAAGCACTCCTCAGTATACGCGTCAATGCTCACGAAGTGACCGAGCATGAAAGCCACCAGCGCGACCAGCACCGGCAACATGGCTAAGCTTAGCGACTCACTTCCGATCCAGGCCACGCCTCTTCCTGGCTCGGGGCCGCCCTCATAGGCGCCGCTGCCACGTACGGGGCTGGGTTACGGTGGCCGCCGAGAGACGTCGCAAGGTGGCGCGCGAGGTTGAGGGAGGGAGGGCAGTGCAGGGGGCGGGACGGTAGCGGAGTGGGTCCTTAAAGAATTTATTTTTAATTAGATGCCGTTCAGTTAACAAAAGTGATGGACGGGCCTTGATTTGCACGACTCCTCCACTGAAAGTGTGTAGAACTGGCTGCATTCGGTACACGAGTTGCACATTTTCTGCACATCAACTAGAAATGGCTGCGGGAGGAAGAGCATGAATTGGGAGCTGGATGTACCCAGTACTCGTGCACACAATGAAATGACTTGACCTGACCTTGGTAGGCTTTGGATCAGGCCCCGGTTTGCATCGTTTCCACTGTCATCAGTGCGAACCAGTGAGGTTGTACTGCACAGGCCGCCCCCGCTTAGCGCTCTTCGTTGGCAGCAGAAAAACGAGGGTTAAGCGAAGCCAAATGTTTTTGATGACCCAGGCTGGTGACTGCGAGCGTTACAACAAAACTCGCCGAGCGCTAAATGGAATCAGTTTAAAACGAGTGTTATAGCAAAATAGCGCTAAGCAAAACAGAGTTAAGCAGGGGATTGTCCGCACCACTTTGGCCACTGACCTCTGTAAAGCTGGGTACAGCGCCTGATTGCCACTAGCCTATTCTGTATTGCTACTTTTCTCCCTCTGCAAGGATGCGCGTCAAAGGCTGGGCAGCCCTTTCTCCTTGACTCTGGGGTTGGCACCCCCTCTCCCCCACCAGTCTCCACCCTCTGGGTTTCTTTATCCCAGATAGTTACTCATCTCAGAGATGCCCTGGTATTGCCTTCCATGTGGCCTTATGTTACTATTGCTTTTCATGCCTTCATAAGCAATATGTTCCTGGAAGTGATGACTGTGCTGTTATTCACCCTCATGCATTTTCTAGTCTGCACTGGGACTTCTCCTGCGGTGCTCTTTCCCAATAAAACATTAATGACCATACAGTGTGGAAGTGGATTTTTGATGAATAATCTGGATGGGGGTCTTTTGTTACTCCCGCCATGTGAAGAGGCAGGTTGTCAAAGTTCAATCGTTTGGGACTATTTTCTTTGTGACCCGCATATGGGGAAGTTGGTGATTTTACCGCTTGTGATGGGACAGAAGATGATGCTGATAACACAGAATGAATCAGGTTATCTGCTTCCATGTCCCAACCCTGCAGTGTTTGGGTGTATTCATTGGGACAAAAGACCGGAAGAGGCCTCCTGGGCCATTGAGTCCAGGCTCTTGCTTCCACAGGCGACTGTTGGGCTCAAAGGGTCCCCAGGAACATGTGCTGCAGCTCTTTTGATGTGCTGAAGTCTCAAAGCACCCCCAAATCCTCTGCTAATTGAACTATGGAAAACCTCTCCCTTTTGTATGCCAAGAAATAGGATACAATGTCTTGCTAATTAAGTTGTTGCATTAAGGCAATCAAGCTGTGTTAGGCATCAGTTCATTTAGTGACTGTCAAATCACAATAACCTAACACTTGTGGATCCGCTGGATATTAGGAAAATTTTTCTCACTAGGAGGGTGGTGAAACACTGGAACTGGTTATCTAGAGCAGCTGTGGAAACTCCATCCCTTGGAGGTTTTTGAGGCCCAGCTGGACAAAGCCCTGGCAGGAATTATCTAGTTAGGGCTGGTCCTGCTTTGAGCAGGGGGATGGAGGACTAGACCAGCGGTTCTCAACCTTTCTTGTACCAGGACCCACCTGTAAACATCGATGGCCAGGCCTGACCCAATGCCCCCGACCCCAGCCCCCAGTGTGGGGGCAGGGGGGCTCCAAGCAGCCCCTCACAGGCTGGACCTCTGCCAGCCAGCAAGGGAAAAGCCCCAGTTCCCCACATTTTTCTCCATTTTTAAAGTTTGTTCACAACCCTTTCCTACATTCCCATGACCCACTTACAACTAGTTGCCAACTCTCATGATTTTTGGCATTGTTCTTAAAGTCTGTGCTTCGGGAATGTGAATAACTTTGCTCTTTCACACACACACACACACACATATATAAAATAAAGAGCTAAGTCTGTCACAATATTAAAAACTTTGCTCTTTCACACACACACACATATATATATATATATATAAAAGAAAGAGCGAAGTTTTTCACATTCCCGCAGTACAGACCTTTAAGAACAATGGCCAAAATCATGAGCCTTGGCAATACCGCAACCCAGGGGTTGAAATCCGCCGGCCTAGACCTCCCGAGGCCCCCTCCAGCCCTCGTGGTCTGCGGCGGTGACGAAGACAAAGCGGGGACCCGCGCGCGCTGCGGGACTCGGTCCCAGTCGCTAGCAGCGCGGATGGGAAGGGGCTGGGAGACCCGCAGGGTGGAGGAGCCGGCGGAGGGACTCGAAGCCGACACTTTTTGCGCTCAGCCTTTCCCGTGCCCCGGTTCCCACCCTCCTGCGCCCAGATGCCCGGCTGGGCTGCGTGCGGGAGGGTGGCAGGCAGGCAGGCAGGGGCCTCCCCCTGGGGCCCCCCCCCCCCCCGCCCCGCCCAGCTCCCACTATCCCAAGTGGGACGGCAGCAGGCATGCGTGGTGTCCTCCTCCTCGCCTTGTGACATGCTGCTGCTATTGGC